ACATTCTCCACTGTTATATAGTTCCAAAACATTATTACTATAATTATATAATTATAATTATATGATATGTAAGGATAATATATAAAAACATCATAAACATAAAAGAATAATAATAAGAATTTTTTAAATTTTATATATGATAAATATATATAAAAGGATACATAATATCTTCTTTAGGTTGTATATCGAGAGTATGTATATTTGATATGTCTTGTGTTACGACACATTCACTATTTTTTTTAAGTTCTTCATTCTCAAATTGAATAAGATTATTTATTGTTGGATTAATATCTAATGAATGTGTAATAGTATATGCTACCCATGATTCTAAAAATTTTTCTTCATCTATATTATAAACATGACAAAATTGTACACCTAGATAAAAAAAATTAATTAAAAATCTGTTAAATAAAAACAATACAACATATTTCATATATTATAAAAATTAATGCAAAGTTAAAAATGTTAAAACAAAAGTTTAAACATATATATAAATATATTTTATTAAAATATAAATAATAATTCATAATATGTAAAACAGTTCATAATATGTAAGCTTTCTAAGATGAGGTTAAAAAACAGATATAATTTTTTAAATATATATATATATTAATATAAAAAATATAATAATTATTAAATATATAAAATGTATTTTATATAAATTAAAATTGAATTGTTTCTTAAATAATAGTATTTAAATCAAGAATTAATCAGATTTATATAGGCAATTTATATAGGTTAGAAATGAAATCTATTAATTTTAAACTATAAACTTATAAATAACTTACACTTATCGATGATAGATTTATCGAAAATATCACAACCTAAATTAACGAAACACAAACTTAATGATTCTTTTGACATTTTAATATACTGTGCTTTTCAGTTTTTTCCCGCCAATAGATATAATAAAACAATATACGTATGCGCAGAATCTTCATTCATATTCAATGCTTTATATATGTGTATATGTGTATTATAGAGAAATATCACATATTCAATGACGTAAATAGTCACAATGAATATAAATGTAATTGATAAATATGTATGTCGATAATATTATTTTTATTATATATTATATATTATTATGTAATATTATATATAAACAATATATATAATATATAATATATATATAATAAAAGAAATGCTTTTATATTTTTGAGAATATATTTTATTTTAAGATATTTGTTAAATATTTATAATAAATTTATTTTATACAAAATTCTTATTCAATAAAATATTTATAAAAACAATAAATGTCATTATTTTTTATGATTATGATTCTTATCCACATATACATATACAAATGTTACAATATATATCAAAAAAACAAAAAATATTTTTGTAATATTTGTATTAAATAGTTAATTATCTTCGAATATAAAATGTTGTTTATCTTTTTCCATAATTTCAATAAGTGTTTGCGAAATATCTATAGAAGGAAATCTTTCTATCCAAGATTGAATCAATCCAGCAAAATTGGGTTCATAATTTTTCAATTGTACTTCATTTTTATCTATTTCCACAATAAACAAATTAGTATAATAGTAATATAACTGTAATATTTTATAATATATATTACTATTTAAATACAAACCATTAACGAATGTATTAGATTGAACAAATATCTTTCGGGGTTCCTTGTGAGCTAAAACTATATCCCTCCAACGTGCCCATGGATGTGGTTCTATTTCAGGTACTTCACTATATTTTTCATACATTTTTCTGGCTGCTTCAATATCACCTGTACTTTTATAAATTTGTAATTTAGTTAAAAAATCTCCAATTGCTTTTTTACCAACTGTTGAAATTTTTGTTCTATTAACAGTTAATAATAAATTCTTTCCAGGTTCAGATTCTACAACATCAACAAAATCATTGCCAGCTTCTAAACAAACTCTAAGTAAAACATATCGTGCTTGAGAATGAGCTTGCAGCCATTTCCCAGTTGATGGTTGATACATTTCTAAAGCTTTTGCACAACCAGTCCATAATAGACATAACCAATTTACATATATTATATCATCTGCTTCAGAACCTTCATATCCAAATATACTTAATATATCTTTTTCTAAAGATAAATATAATCCAACTGCTTCTGCTCTGCATTCCTCATAAGATGATCCCAATGATCCAAATTTCGAATCATATGTTTCACCAGGTAAAAAATATTTATTTATTAATTCTCCAGTAAAAGGATTTTTTACTTTTCCAATATTGAAATTATATGAACCAGATTCCAATTGTTTCAATAATTTACCTGTTCCATGACCAAGAAGTTCATGCAAAGCAACTTGCACTTCAAAGCTAGCTACTCTATAACTATTCATCAAAGTTTGATCATGTTCAGATAAAAATGGTATTACATCTAATTTCATATTTGCAGGAATTACATTACCCAAAGAAACATTCTTAAATCCTTCTGATTGCCTAATTTCATCATAATTTGGGATATTTATACCTGCAGGAATACCAGATCCCGAGAATGTTAAAACATCCAATGAAGTAAAATCAGGTCTTAGAAATTCATCTTTTTCAAAATCTTTACCCCACGGGAGTTTTGGTATAAATTTTTCTGCATTAGTTACCAATGTAGCAAATTTTTTGGACATTTCTTTATTTACCATTGCTACAAATCCTTCAAATTCTCCTCTTTGACCTGCTGGATCTCTATAAGTTTCAATAAAACCTATGTAAGTTTCTATAACTGGTCCTTTGTCTTTAATCCATAAACGAGAACCATCCTTGTGATCTTGTAAAGATCCAGTTTTAAAGTGTTCTATGTATTTATTTAACATATTTTTTTCAATTTCATTTACCGCATATTCTTTTGCTTTTTGAAGATTATGAACAACTGGAATCAAAAGTTTACTGTAATCTCCTCTTGTAATTCTAAATTTTGCATTTTTAAATACTTCTTCTGATAAAGTAATATTAGAATCATTATTGGTTTCCACAGAAGCTAATCTAATTTCATATATATCAAATTTACAATCATTTTGATCATTTGCTATTTTAAAGCATCTTGTATTATAACATTCTAATCCTTTACTTTGCATAAAATCATTAACTAACTCTGCATCTTTTTCTGTGCAATTAGCAGAAAAATAAGTTGTAATTCCCTTCTCACTCAATCCTAGAGATTTTAATTTTCCTTTAATAGAATATATTATATTTTGAATTTTATTCCAAATTTCTTCAATGTTTTTGGAATTATTTTTATATGCTTTTGAAACTTTTATTATAGTTTCAAATTTATCCTTAGGTAAATTTGGAATTATTTTACTATCACCAAAAGATTTATAATTACCAGCATTTGCAAAAATTCCACATGAATATACTAAAAATGCCTAAAAATAAGAAATAATTGTACAATATAGAAATAATTGTACAAAAGAAATAATTGTAACAATTAATATTATATTTAAAAAATGAAATTATTATTTGATATAAAACTTACTGTAAATTCATCTTCACTAATATTAACATTAAATGCAGAATTTTTCAATTCATTTATTGTTTCAGATATGAAGATTTTATGTAGTAGAGCAAATATTAAAGGTGATTCTGGAGAAGTTTGAACAAATACAATAAGACCACCATTCCATGCAGCTTGACTTAAATAATGTGCATATAATTTTTCATTTTTTGTTAAAGCATTAAATGCAGTATCACATTCTAATGCAATTATCGGTTGTTTATTTGGTAAAGTAAATAAAGAAATATCTTCACTCATATTCGTAGACAATAATTTTACACTAAAATACAATGTTATAATTTAATAAATTTATTGATTATATTTTAAATTCTATATAAATTTTTATATAAATATAAACAATACGGTACTATTAAATTAATAAATTTAATAAAATTTTTTGTAATTATGACATTTTAGAAAAAATATTTAAAAATAGACGTAATAATAAAAATTTAGACTTTTTTATACATATGTTGTATGCATATATAAATATATAAAAATATATATATACATACACTGAAAAAAATACATACATATATATATATATATATATATATAT